ATTGTCAATAGAAGAAACTCAAATGCCTAAGAAACAATGTTCAACATCCTTAGCCATCAGCAAAATGAAAATCAAAACTACTTTGAGATTTCACCTTCTATCTGTCACAACTGCTAAGATTAATTTTTTAAAAAGTGACAAATCATACTGGCAAGGATGTCAATGGAGTTAGTGGAATACCCATCCATTTCTAAAGTGACTGCAAAGTTACATAGCCACTGTGAAAATCAGTGTGTTGCTTCCTCAGGAAGATGGGATTTGATATACCACAAGATTAAGCGATCTCACTCTTGGGCATATACCCAAAAATTGCTTCATCTTACCAGATAGACACTAGCCCAATAATATTCACTGTGGCTCTAGTCATAATAATCAGAAATTGGAAACAACCTAGATGTTCCACAACAGGGACATCTAAAGAAAATGTGGGCCGGGTGGTGGTGGCACGTGCCTTTAATCCCAGCACTGGGGGGGGGGGGCAGAGCCAGGCAGATTTCTGTGAGTTCACCTGGTCTACAGAGTGAGTTCCAGGAAAGGTGCAAAGCTACACAGAGAACCCCTGTCTCGAAAAAAAAAAAAAGTGGAATGTTTACACAATTGAGGGTACACAGCTGTTAAGAAAAGTAAAATTTTTCAGGCAAATGAATGGAAAAAGAAAAAAATCATTCTGAGTGAGGTAACCCATACCTAGAAAAACAAATAGGGTATGCATTCACTCAGAAGTGGATGTTCGTTATTAAATTCATGATAACCAACCAAAATATATATAACGACAGATGTTAAGCATAGATTAAGTGGCTAGGGAGAATGGATGTCAAAGCAAAGGGAAATAGATAGTTATGGATGGATGGAATGGGGCCTCAAACTGGAGGATCAGGTGGGGAGGGGGTGGTGGGAGATGGTGACATGGAGGGGATATGGGGAGAATCTACTAAAATTGAGGGCCATGTGAAGGGTAGTGTGGAAGATGAATACAGTAGAAGTTTACACACACACACACACACACACACACACACACACACACACATATATATATATATATATATATATATATATATCTCCTATCTAAATGCAATTGCCAGATAATGGGGGCAACAGGTCCTAACCAGCCATATCTTGTCACCAAATGAAATTTCCAGTACCTTGATCGGGCTGCATCTAACTGAGTTGCTCAAAGGATTCCCATGGTCCCTTAGAAATCCCTAATTAACTAGGATGTTGCCAAGGCTACAGGCTACTCTTTACAAACTGATCACAAGGTCCCATTGCTGAGGAAAACACCTAAGCAACTCATTGAAGACAGAGAAGTTGAGCTGATGTCTACATAGAGACTTCATCCCTATGTTCTAACACCTCCGTTACACATGACCAAGAGGGAAATATAAACACCAAGCCAGCCACAAACCTTTAGATCTACAATGGTGTCCCGCCTGCAATGGTGGCACACAGCTTGTGGGAGTAAAGAATTAGTACTGGATTTGACTTCAGGCCCATCCCACAATATGTAATCCATAACCAACACAATTTGGGTGGACAGAAACCTGTCACTAGATATCCCAGAGACCAAGGGGAGAATTCAATACTGTTGTTCTATTAAAATAATGTAGCAATGAAATCTGCTATAAATACTAGATTAATGCCTTGCCCAGGTGGTGCTAGAGAAGCTTCCCCCTACAGCAACTGATAATAAATACAGAGATCAACAGCCAGACATTATGAAGAGAGTGAAAGATCTTAGACCACTCAGCCCTAAATGGGAGGACTTCATCAAAACCCTCCTTTCAGAGATAAGGAAACCTTGCAGAAGAAGAGGCAGAAAGATTGTGAGAGCCAAAAGGGATGGAGGACACAAAGAAAACACGGCCTTCTAAATCAGCATGACCATTGGGCATATGAGTTCACAGAGACTGAGGCAGCCTGCACAGGGCCTGCACTGATTTGTACCCGGTCCTTTGCATATATATTATGACTTATTGTTTAGGGTTTTTATCACGTTCCTGAATGTGCAAACAAGTGGATCTCTGTTTTTTGTGTCTTCTCTTAGTCATTTCCTACTGTTTGTTTGTTTGTTTGTTTATTTGTTTTTGTTTGTTTGCTTGCTTGTTTCAATACCAATGAGTTAGATATTCTTTTATCTTATTATGTTTTATGGCACAACCATCACCTAGGGGAGTTGTGAAAGTCAGGAAGCCAGCATAGCTGCTTGACAAAGTTCCAGCAAAGCTGAGCCACATGCTACGATTGTTGACCTGATGCCCTTTACTTTTGGTTTGAATCTCTGTGTGTTACACATTTGGGGGAATATTAGCACAATGATTCACCCATGTCTTCAAGAAAATTGTTTTTGTATCCCCCTGAAGAAATCCTGAATGTACTACCCCCCTGCTTTCAGGGAAGTAACCTCAGTTGACCCTACTTGGGAGTCTTTTCTGTGACTTGGAGAATGTTCTCTGCCCCTATGCAAACTCAAGAACAAAACAGAACTGTATGAATTCAGAAGAGGCTGACAAGGTTCAGCAGGATAAAAGAATTGGCATCAGATCAGAGCATGGTACTCCTTTTACATTATACTTCGAACTTCTTAGAAACATAACCTGTAAGATCATGTATATTAAGCCTATAAAAGGAATTCAGCCATAATAGCTGGAATGACTAGGAAAACATAACAGTATGTAGAGGTGGTATAAGAATTCCTTGCTGGGCGATGGTGGCACATGCCTTTAATCCCAGCACTCGGGAGGCAGAGGCAGGCGGATCTCTGTGAGTTTGAGGCCAGCCTGGTCTACAAAGTGAGTTCCAGGAAAGCTGCAAAACAACACAGAGAAACCCTGTCTTGAAAAACCAAAAAATAAAAAAATTAAAAATTAAAAATAAAAAAATTAAAAAAAATAAGATAAGTCATTCCTAAAAAGATTGATTTACATCAAGTATCTGTGGCATTAATTTAGAAACAAAAGAATTCTTTTATTTAAAAATTCCTATGAGATTATAAATATAAACATTATAAATAATAGAATAACAACTACAACAGTTCCTAATCCTGACAAAGCTCTCAGGCTTACGCTAATTTGCAAGTAATATGATTGAACATTAAAAGTTAATAAAATACTGCTCAAATCATGCTGATTCATCTGAACTACTCAGATATTATCTAAAACATCTTAAAACCGTAAACTGTTGCCAGCCTGAGAATAGACTGCTATATGATGTTTGCTTAAGCTGAAATGGTCTATAGAATTCTAGGAATAAGGATATGGGATTGATAATAAAATCTATTCTATCTGTACTTAACTTAAAACCCCAGGCATACTAGAGAAGTATACCCAGGACAAAATGATGTGATCTGTATCTCTTTAGGAATCATGAATCTGTATAAATAAGAAATTTTCTGATTGCTAATCAGTCAGGTTTACAAAGTCTTCCCATCTGGGTGTTTCTGATTCAACCTTCCCCTGTCCTGATCCTTACACCCTCTGCGGAACCAGTTCATTGCTGGTGCTGGCGCTGCCTCCCACTCCCCGGCAATTTTATTTTATCGTTAACACCTAGAAGCCTGCTTGTTTTCTAATGAGCAACAGAGAGGGAGTCGATTGGAATGGGAGGGGAGGAGAAAAGCAATTGGGAGGAGTAGAGGGAGAGGAAACCATAATAGAATAAACTATATGAGGAGAAAAATTCTATTTTTAATAAAAGGTTAAAACAGAGAAATCAGAAAAAAAACATTATAATGCTATAAAATTTTAAGGATACTATAAAACAGGGGGCACTAGAACTCTAACACAATAACATGGGTCACAGTGCTTTCTTGTAAATAATAATCATTATATTACTTAAAGAAAAACATTAACTTAATTGTTATTGGGAAAAAACAGCTGCTATGTTAAAAAAATGATTCTAAAAGTATTTAGGTCCCTTTTCATAAGTTAAGGAAAAAACTTGCCTTCCTTGGTGGTATCATGAAAATGAGCAACTTCTAGAGTATATGATCAGACTGCTATTCACAATTACTTAAGCATTAATGTCTGTGGAAAAACTACTAGAATAAATTAAATTCTAAAATGCAAAAAAAAAGGTTGAAACTAAGAAAAGGCTTCAATTAGGTACATGTTCAGTCTTTATAGACATCACTAAAATCAAGGGATGAAAATGTACAGTCACACAACCTTGAAGAATAAATTACCAGACTAGAAGCCCAGTAACCTATGCACCATAACTGCCTATACAGTATGTTTGCATATACACCTCCATATGTGTGTGTGTGTGTGTCCATACATATTTTGCTAATTTTCAATGCTCTATTCTTCAAGGAAAAATAACATAAATATAATACATTTACTAAGCAAGGACTGAGGCAAAAAGGACAAGGGGTTAAAAAGAAACAAACAAGCCGGGCGGTGGTGGCACACGCCTTTAATCCCAGCACTCGGGAGGCAGAGGCAGGCGGATCTCTGTGAGTTCGAGGCCAGCCTGGGCTACCAAGTGAGTTCCAGGAAAGGCGCAAAGCTATACAGAGAAACCCTGTCTCAAAAATTCAAGTGAATGAGGATTCTTGGAAAGTCATTCTGGTCATAAGCACTGCTCAAATTTGGGGAAACAGATGCAGACAAACAGCAAATAATTTTGGAAACATCAAAAAATTCCTAAAAACAGTAGAGTTTGTAGAACTTTGGATGAACTGTGACTACTATACAGTAATGTTCTACGGTCAAAATAGTTAAAACTAGACTAAGCACAACATAAATCCTCCCCATTACTCCAACGGCCATTTTAAGAGACTTGCAAACATTTCCTACCATGTAGTTCAGAACATATCTCCCCTGACATGTAAAGTCTCCTTTCTTTAAGGGACAGCACTTAACATTATTATCCTAAGTATCTTTTCATAAAGCTAGAACTGAAAGTGTAAGAATTATTTCACATTATCTGGAAGAATCAAGATAGGACATCTCCTGAAACCACCAGTCTAGCGTAAGGATCAAAAGTAGATATTAGAAGAATACCTTTTCAGCAGAGCCTGGAATGGAGAGCCACTCAATGGACTTGAAATTCTCTTACACCTCCTTGACACTAAATATCCAAGTTAGCTACAGCAGTTGGCAAACCAACTACTGAAGTCTGGGGATTCTACAGTAGTCAAGGTGACTGACCACTGTGACGTCACAGTTCTGAGGCTCATGACATGCCTGACAAAATGACATGTGCCTTTCATCTGTTTTTATCAAGATAAAATTCTGATTAAAAATAGTTTTAAGGATGAACAGAGATGTTATTTTTCCTTTTCCCAGCAGTCATTAGTTTTCTGTAGTTCTTTTTCTCGCCAAGGGACCCTGTGAGATGTTTTCCCTTTGTGTTAACATGTCCATTGATAGTGCCATTGTTCTGGCATTGTTTATGAAGCCATTTATAGGAAAGACAGTTTCATAGCAAATTTCCTGGTATTTTGGCTCTTACAATCTTTCCAACCCCTTCTGTGATGTTCCCTGATCCAAAGATGCAGAGGCTGTATATAGATGTATTATTCACTGGGGCTGGGCACCCCATGATTTGGTGTAGTGTTTTCAGTTGTGGTTTTCTGAGATGGTCTCCATTTGCTGTGAAGAGTGGCTTCTTAGGATGGGGGGGTAGTGGTAATTATGCTTGTCTGTGAATAGATATTGGAAGGCATTTGTTGACTGGTCGAGGTTGTAGCCTCCCCATGGCCTGGCAGTTTATCTCAATAGCTCAGCAACATGGGACTCCCTCCCCCCCACCCCCCAGCAGAACTTCCTGTCTCTATCTGCTCTTATCTGGAGAATGTCCCTGGACCTGGAGGATTGACCTTATCTAAAAGTTGTTTCTAAGCCAGATAACTGATTAATCTTTAGCTTGACCCTTGGCACAGATTTCTGCTAAGACTTGTGCTCGGAGCTCTGCTATAGGAACCTACTGCCATATACAAAGCCTTGTGATAGGAGTGTGCTACTTAATACAAATTAGGGTTTGTCCCCAGGTTCCCAATCCTATATATTCCTTATACTCTGGAATAAAGTTTAGCTGTTTCACCAAACGTAGTCTCCCAGAGGGCTGTCTTCATTGGTACCCATAGCCTTTTTGAACCCTGTTCCCTGTTTCTGTTCATTCCACCCTGGTGGACTAATGCAGCCAATGATCCCAAGGAAGAAGCAGAGCCACAAATAAATTAAAAAAAAAAAAAAAACCAAACTTGGCAAGGAATTGAGATGGTCTAGCAAAGTAGTGGTAGGAGACACTTTTCGAAGGTTCATAGCCTCACTATCCTCAAAAAGCTGGCTAGTGGGCTGGAGAGATGGCTCAGAGGTTAAGAGCATTGACTGCTCTTCCAGAGGACCTGAGATCAATTCCCAGCAACCACATGGTGGCTCATAACCATCTGTAATGAAATCTGGTACCCTCTACTGGCCTGCAGTCAAATATGCAGACAGCATACTGTATACATAATAAAATAAAATTAAAAAAAAAAAAACTTTAAAAAAAAAAGTAAAAAAAAAAAAGCTGGCTAGGACTCTATAACCAGTTATGATTTCACTCCCCTTGAGTTAGACATAAGTTTAGACAGTTGTGGATAGCCACTAAGTGAATGCTATTTCTTACACACACACACACACACACACACACACACACACACACACACATACACACACACACACACACACACACACACATACATATCTTATTAGGCTGTTAATTGCTGTGATCCATATATGCTATAGTTAGATAGGACTGTATATTTACTTTCCTCCTTTGGAAATTTGTATACTATTCTCTGTAACCATTGAAGTTAGACCACAGGAAGTGACGTTCAGGTTAGTTTCAGCTCAAATCTTCTGAGTCCTGTGTCCATAATGTGTGGTATCTTGTGCTATGTGGGCTCGTGATCAAGCCCTGAAAGGAAACCATCAGCTAGACCAATGAACTGCATTGCTTGAAGAGTCATTTAGACTGCCCTGACCAATAATTTGAAAGGACATTTCTCATGCCTGGTCCTGGTTTTATAATCACATCAATTGAGTTCTCATGTTGACCATCTTTTTGTGGCTGTCAAAGCATTATCTATCCATTTCTGTGGTGGTTTCTTTTCAAGAACACAGTATATTGAGGAGCATAATCTGTATTTGGGCTTTTGGATTTTCTTTTCCAACAATCATAATTGGAGGTTCATTTAATGATTTGTATTACTGCGTAGTATATGGAGGTTTACTGATAGACTATCAAGTATGCATCATATGTATGGAACATATATGTATATACTTCATTTTAACTATTTCACTACTGAAGGATATGTGGCAGCCTCCAGTTTGAAGATTTTGCAAATAGCCATTGTTAAAATCATTTGTGTACACCTTTAAAATTTTTAACAGCATTAATCTACTTGTTAAATGACACCCCACTGAGGATGGGGACCAATAGGCATACTTAGCATTTAATTTAACTATTTTAAAGAACTAAGAAATCCAGAGAAAATATCTCAAATGAAAACAGACAGTGGTAACTCTGGCATCATCAATCTCAGAAATGATTTCCACTCATCCATCAGTGGCATTGAATCATGTGGTTATACAAGATGAAAGTTCTCTCAGAATCAACATGGACTTGTGCTCTTTACACTTATTCTTTAGGTTAGTAACTTAAATTGTGTCCATCCTTTTTCTTTTTCTTTGTTTGTTTGTTTTTGTTTTTTGTTTTTTGAGACAGTGTTTCTCTGTGTAGCTTTGCACCTTTCCCAGTGGTGGCACATGCCTTTAATCCCAGCACTCAGGAGGCAGAGGCTGGCGGATCTCTGTGAGTTCGAGGCCAGCCTGGTCTACAGGGTGTCCATCCTTTCTAAAGCACAATCAGACAAAACACCTCACACAACCTTCCATCTAGTTTTGGACACTTACTGTGTAACAGTTTGCTCAAGCAAACTATTTGAAACATATTCCATCCTACAGGAACTCTTCTTCCTGCAGGAAGGTAAACAACCCAAAATAGCTACAAGAGTCCCTGAAACTGACCAGATTTACTAGGCCTTGTCTTCCCAACAATAAAAAGTCAAGCTGCTGAGAGTCAATCTTAAACCAAGCTGCAAAGAAGACTAAGACCAGGCCAGCTGCTAGGAAGAAGCAAAAACCAGCCCAGCTTCCTGAAATAGATACAGATTAATTGAATCCCCCAAAAAGGACACTGTCTCCAACCTGGTGAGCTGTGTTCAGGCTGTTCTCTGTGCTCCAGGTTCCCTGCATTTGTGAGTTGTTGCTGGAGTGGGCTTTCATGATGCAAGTGTTCTTGAGTCATTTCTGCACTGGTGATTAACCCCTCATCAGTATTTCTGTATGTAATACTGTCCAAGTAAAACCCCAATACAACTCATTGGTTCATCAAGTGGACTTGTGTGACATACATGCTTTGGTCTGTTGTGGGCTCCCTATATGGGATGAGTAGACTGTGTTGCATCGTACTAAGAGAAGTTTTGTCATACAACTATTTAGTGATTTACTTTAAAGTCTACCACTATTAACATGTAAGGCAAATAACTTTCAAATCCTTTCTAAAGAGCATATTTGTCCAATACAAACTGAGAATTAAGAAAGTGCAATCAACCGGGCTGTGGTGGCGCACGCCTTTAATCCCAGCACTCGGGAGGCAGAGGCAGGCAGATTTCTGTGAGTTCGAGGCCAGCCTGGGCTACCAAGTGAGTTCTAGGAAAGGCGCAAAGCTACGCAGAAAAACCCTGTCTCAAAAAAAACAAAAAAAAAAGAAAGAAAGAGAGAGAGAGAGAGAGAGAAAGAAAAAAGAAAGTGCAATCATAACCCCCAAAGTTTCCATAGACACGCACTCCTCAAACATCTGAGGCTATAGCCAACACCATTAGTTACTCTTATTGTGAGTTCATATGTACAGGAGCTGTGTAGTTGCCAGCCCATTTAGGAGGAATCCTTTTACATTACTTGTCAAAACACTTTCATGCCCAAAAGATATCAATTTCTACAATCTCAGTTAAAGAAAATTGCTTCACCACTATATTCTGAGGGAGACAAAATTTAGTACATTGCGCATTACATTTGGATAGAAAATTATATTGTTTGAACTCCTAGCTCTAAGATTCTTCTGCTTTCTTTTAAGCTTGCTACCTCCAAAGCAATAGCTTCTTTGGCATTGGCTTTTGCCATTGAGGAGATGAACAAGAATCCAGTCTTTTGCTCAATATATCTTTTTAAATTGTCTTTTTTAGTATCTATCAGGCTATGAAGATGTTTTTCAGTCTAATGACTCCGTTTGTCAAAGAATTCACAAACATGGCAATTATGTATTCGAAGGCAGGAAATTCCAAGCAATAGTTACAGGATCGTTGTAGTCAACCTCTGTCAGGATTTAGCCATTTATCTACCAGTATCAAATCTCACATGTGAAGTTGTATGGAATGGGAAAACTGAACCCTGTCTCCGCTGCTGTTTGTCTCAGATCTCTGTTTTGTTTCCATCTATTGAGGAGGAAGCTTCTCTAAAGACAACAGAGTAAGGTACTGATCTATGAGTATAAATGAAGGAAACATTTTAACACACAAACACTAATGTGGATTTTATATTCCACAGAGAATTCCCCACATGCACCTACATTTAATCTGCACTGAAGCTAAGTAAATGCAACATCCAACACAGTAATCTTCCATGTCTTTACTTTCCAATGCCCAGTAAAGTGATTGACAAGAGGCAGATGACCAAAGTGTGTTTGCTCAAAGGAGTGGTTGTTGTATATGTAAAACCTGCCATGGTAGAGCATAACGCCAGTGAGTAGGTTTCATTTTCTCTTCTTCTTTTCATAAGTCCCTAGTGAAAAGAATAGGTAGAGATGCAAACTCAGGCTAATGTCTCAAGGCTGCAGTCAATGTCTGTATTGAAAACTATGGGAAGATATAAATGATTATTTCCACATTCGTGGGATGGTACCAATACATTTTTTTTAAGATCATGGTTTTGATGGGTAGCAGTAATTTTTAATGGAATTAATAGAAGCAGCTAAGTATTAGAAATTGCAACTTCTTTTCCTACCTAGTGTGCTTTGTAGAAAATCTTCACTTTGAAATTGAAGAAATTA